CAAGCTTGCGTCTCTCCGTCCGGACGTAGTAAGCACACGAACTCTGTCACAACGTTAAGTAGCCCTAGCCCGTTCAAACTGCATACCGCCTGCATTGGGCAACAGGCAATTCATGCTTTGCATTCACTACAGCCCTGTTCCCCCTCTCCGGCCGTGACGGAGTCTTTCATCCGGTGTACAGCAAACAAGCACCATGCAGAGGCAGCTTACGTGCATATCACGTCCAAGCTCCGGTCAAAACCGGCCGGGGCAATGTTCTAATGCTTTCTTTCCGTATCATGGGACAAGTTGAGGAGAAGAGGGAGCACAAGCATTCATGGTGAAAAATGCTCTGTGTATGGCCCTCCCCGGCCAGCTCCATCGAGTTCTAGGCCCTGAAGCTATCGTCAAGCTCTCCATGGGCTTTTACCGCATGCTTCCCTCGCATTGATCTACCCAGGGGGCAACAACCCGTCCGAGGGAACATCCTTGCTCCAAACCTGTAAAAGCAAACAACTACCCCTCGTCACCACAACAATGTACACAAATCACTCATAATCAAGCATGAAATCAGGCCCGCATGATGCGCTGTAAACCATAGGATAACGTCTTGGTATATCAGAGGGAGAAAAAAAGGAAGGACAGGCATCTAAATGTCTATCAACGCAGCCTCCCCATCCTTGGCCATCTCATCCTTGGCCCGCTGAATGACGTCAACCCAGTTAGGCGGCCTGCATCGCTCCTTAGCAAACAGCTCCTCGGCGTCGAGCCCGAACTCAAGCAGGCTGTGCTCGTCCGTCCACTCGCCCATGCCCATCAGGCCGACGGGGATCTTGCCCTCCGTGTCGGGCCCGGCCTCGCTGCCGCCGCCGGGCCGGTCGTGCGGCACGACGTAGCCCGCGGGCACCGTGACGCCGGGCAGCCCGCAGAAGTTGCCCATCCAGACGTACTCCATGCTGCGAATGGTGCGGTCGCCATCGGAGAGGCCATGGGTGAGCTCTGACTTGGACATGATGGGCCAGCCGGCGCAGGCGGTGGTGGGCGTGACGATTATCATGCCCGGGTACGTCTGCCAGAGGTGCGCGAGGTGCTGCATCAGCAGGCCGCGCAGCTTCTGGGCGAGGAGGTAGTCCATAGCGGAGGTAACGCGGCCGATGGCGAGAAGGATGCGGTTGCCGTGGGTAAGGTTCTTGGTTTCCGGGAGGAGGGTGGCGCCGTCGGTGAGAACGGTCATGGCGTGCGCGGACTGGCCCTCAACCAGGAAGGGGATGTCGATGGGGACGGTGGCGTAGCCGTGGCGCGAGACGAGGCGGGCGATCATGGAGCGGCACATGCGCTGGATGGCCGGGTCGGCCTGCGCGAACCAGGACTCGGGGACGCCGAGGATCTTGCCGCGTTTCTCGGACGGGGAGAGGACGAAGGGGGAGGCCTGGATGAAGTTGGAGTCCGGGTGCGGGGCGCCGATGGTCTCAAAGCAGGTGGCCAGGGACTCGATGTCCGCGGCGATGGGCCCGTTGACGGCGCACGAGTTAGAGTGGTTCGGGCAGGGGTGGAAGGAGATGCGGCCGTGGGTGGGCTTGAGGCCGTAGACGCCGCAGAGGGACGAGGGAATGCGGATGGAGCCGCCACCATCGGAGCCAAGGGCGAAGGGCACGAGGCCGGTCGCTACGGCATAGCCGGCCCCGGATGAGGAGCCGCCAGTGTAATAGCCTGCGTTGTACGGGTTGCGGGGTGTTCCATAGATGGGGTTGTTACCGGTTGTGTCTGACACAGTTAGTACCGTGTAGCAAAAAAAGGGGGAAGTATGGCGTACCGAGACCAAACTCGTGCATGGAGAGCTTTCCAAGGATGACGGCGCCTGCAGATTCTAGCTTCTTGACGCACCAGCTGTTGATCGACTGGCCGGGCTCGACCTGCGTGGTGTAGTCGTTGCGGGAACCGAGGCAAGTCCGATAGCCGTCAATCTCGTACTCATCCTTAACCGCTGTCGGGACGCCATCCAAGGGGCCAAGCGGCTTTCCCTCCTTGTACCGCCGCGTCGAGGCCTCGGCGGCGGTCAGGACCTGGGTGACCTTTGTGTCGAACCACGCGATCGAGTGCTCACCTGGCGGGGCGGTGTCACGGCGGATCAGGGGCAGGATGGCGCGGGCAACGGCGAGTGGCGTGACCTCGCCCGAGAGGTACATCTCGTGGTAGTCGGCGGCGGAATAATACTTGAAAGGCCGCGGCTTGGACTTGACGGCGCTCTCGCGGTGCAGGACGGCCGGGTCTTTCGCCTCGTCCATGGGGTAGGGCAGGACGGTTGGGTCGTAGCGCGGTTCCGCATCCTCAATGTGTTTGCGGATCTTCCGCACGCCGCCAAAGCCCGCGTTGCTCCAGATGAAGGCACGGATGAACCAGAGATATTCCATACTGTGACGGTCAGAGACTTGAACGTGCCAGGCCGCTTGACGGACTTACGCCCATGCTGCCAGCACCAAGAGCCAGCCCTTCAGGGGCGGATTGCTTCCTCGCTCATTTTTATACGGAATGGGTGGCCTGGCGAAGACGAGTCAGTATCCTGCACTTTGTACGATCTCGACACGAACGGTGGATCGTGCATCGCGGCGAACACATGGTCAAGACTAGCGAAGCCTGACACGAAACAGAGCCAATCGAGACAACTTACCCGGCTAAAGGCACAGGGTAATTGATGAACTTCTTTCTGACTTCGGAGCTCATGTTGGACCTCTTGCGGACCGAGCTGGGAGGGGAGATGGAGCCGAGTCCGGCGGCGTCGTGAGGGGGTGGTCGTTGGGATTCGGGATCAGAGTCCAGTGTTGCCGATGAACATGGCATGGTGGTTTCGATAAGGCTGGGCGCCCGCGATGTGATACTCTGAGACGGATGGGCGATCCGGACCGGGACAAGCTTATATACCTTAGCTAGAGCTACCCGGCTGGAGCTTAATGCGGCGGTGGAAGGGGAGAAGAAAAACCAAGGTTGATGGGACGCGGGCTGACGCTGGGATGCAGGCTGCGCCGGGACCTCCCTCGTCTGCGTATGCCGGGCTCGACCATGCAACAGGTTTGCGCCTGGGCCGTGTGATGCTCGCCACGAACCAACCGTCAGGGAGGGGCGAGTGGGAGGGCCGGATGGACAGGGGCAGTCTCTCCAACGGTCGAGGCCGTCTGATTTTGGGGATCCAATCGCGGGCAAGGGGTCGGACGGGCAGGATGGCAGCGTTGGGTGTCGTCCAGTCCGGAGGATGTCGGCCGGGACGATCAGCAGGAACCGTCAGTGTGCATACAGTATGCCGGCGGCGGTGGTGGGCTGTTACTATGTAAAGCTGTTTCCCGGGTAGATCTGAAAGTGAAGCTCTGGGGATGTGTTAATGCTGATGCAATGAGCGCGAGGCTGGACGTTGCGTGTTCAGGTTGACTTTTTGATGCTTGAGTTCGGGATCCTCGGCCGGCCGCATTGGGAAATCCCTGCTCCTTGGACGTGCGGCGGTACGGTTCTGGACTCCGCGGCCTCGGTATGGGCCCAGATAACCTAGGTGATGAGGTGAGCGAGCGAGCGAGAAACTGCTTGGTACTGACGGGAGACTGAGCCTCTGGAGATGAGGCGGGCACAGAAGGTAATGTCATGCAAGGGAGATGAGTTGAGGCGACGTGAAGGTGTGTATCCGCAGAGGTTAATGGCTGGCGTGAGCTTGTTCGGGTTTGGCTCTCCCGCTGACGAATGTTCGACCATGTAAGTGTGTGTCTCTGTGTAAGGTAGTTGTGTGGGAGCTGCATGTCTCACTGGGAAAATAAACACGCGGCGCATTGCATCTCAGCAGATCTTCGTCCGGTGACAAGCTTCCATCCAAGGACAGGGACGGAGGCAGAGACAGACGTGGAAGGCGGCATTAGTCGCAGTGGTGGGCAGTGAAACCGTGAAACGAGCAGGCACTAGGCACTAGACACTAGCTAGGTAGGCACTCGGGAGCGACGGATCTCGCAGAGGACTCCCTGCTGCAGAGCCGTGATCGCCGCCATTGTTTTCTTGTTTGCGGAGGCTGTGAAGTGTGAACTGATGTGTTGTGACTGGTAGTGGTTAGTATGGGTAAGGTAGGTGGCATAGCATAGATAACAACCGGTGGCATCCCAGCTGCCCGTCCCAAAAAGAAGAGAGCGTTCCATTGCAGTTGCGGTCGTAGCTGCTGCGTTTGCCAGAGATTCAGTTCAGTGGACATGGACGCCGGACGAGACGATCAACTGCTGCTGCTGCCCGCTGCTCGGCCTCGGGACGGCAACCGCTAGCGTTGCATTAGAGCCAAATGGGAGCTTCTCCACAAAAGCGGACCACTGACGTCGTGCCACGGTGCACCTCAGAGAAATACTCCGCGAGCTGGTGATTGGGCGCCGCACTGCTGGCATCAGCCACATCAAGCGGGTAGTATGAGCCACGTATCTCCCACCAGCCACAGCACCCCACGTGCCATGGCGGGGCTTCAGTCTGAATGGGGGTGCAGTGCTGATGGCTTTTCCTCCGTGCTGAGACTCATCGAGGCGACCCAAGGCAATGACGGCGTGACCCATCCTCCTGGAACCAGCAGAGTCATTGACTTTCTGCCCTGAACAAATCGGACTGGGGAAACATGCACCTCGAATTCGACACCCCTATGAATCATCGACGTCTTCCGCGAGCGCGTGTTTGAGTTTTCCAGCGTCCTGGTAGCGCGAGTCCGGCTCAAATTTCGACGTCTGCACCCACAATCGGAGAAAGCCCCGCAGCGTCATACCTCACTGGCGTCGGCCATCAAAACCCCAACCAACCTCATCGCCGTCCATTGCTGTTTGCTGTACTTGTATCGCATCGTACTACACGTCGAAAGGACCACAGCATAACCGCCCTCTGTCACGATCGGCCAGTTTCTATCGTCTTGGCTCGACCAACCCAGTGAAACATCAGTGTCTTTCTCCGTCTCAGTATGAGTAGCTTGCTTCTTTGGATTTCGCGACAATACCTCGAACCCTGAAGCCTGCCTGTATCTAATGGCATCATCATCAAAACTCGACGACCTGGTGGTAAGTCCTCCATGGCTGATGTGTGCATACTGCAGGCCACAAACATCTTCTAGACTGTTGTTAACAGCATCCCAGGCGGAGTTTCCCCTCCTAGACCCCACAGTTGTCATTGCAATCGCAAGTGAGCTAGACCTCAGCAATGCCGGCCAGCTCAACGACGTCCGGGGCATGCTGCAGAGTCTTGCGCAGGACGTTCTGGCTGAAGAGGCCAGCGGCTTCAACGCCAGCGGTGTTCCCGATGCTCTCAGCTCTAATGACGCTGGCACGGACACCAGAGACAGCTCGACCAACATCTCTGACGGTCTCCACCTGAGAGACTGTGATTCTGCGAGGACTGGCGTCACCAGTCCCCCTCCCCCAGACGAGCTGGAGTATGACGTCCCGCGCATCAAGACCTTCGACGGCGACTCGGAGCAGGAGAAGCTGCTGCAGCTGCAGGAGATGTTCTCCGACCTGAAACCCCACGACGTCAGCTTTGCTCTCAAGAAGGCACAGGGCGATTTCCAGTCCGCTCTGGAAACGTTGCTGAACATTCAGTTCCTCGAGTCCATCGGCGAGCGGCCCAAAGGCATCGATGGTTTCTTCCAGCCGGAGCAGTCGAAGCCATCCGGCAAGAAGAGGGGCAAGGGCAAGAAGAAGAAGGACATGCGTACTGATCTCTCATCGAGCTCCAGCAGCATCAATGACAGCTCGCCAAACAATGAAGACAATGACAGTAAGTTCAATAGCACATTTATGAAGGGCTGAAACTAACTCGTCCCAGGAGTTGAAAAGATCCTCTTCATCGTGGAGAAGCTTGACCTTCCCTTTGAAGAAGTCTCTGACGTGTTCGATTCCCACAAGGGATCCGTCGAAGGCACGATCATCGAGTTCCTGGAACGATACATCAAGCAAGGGGTAGTCGTCGACGACAATGACAGTACCTTCGGAAAGCAACACGTACACGAGTTGAAGAAGCAGTACCGCCACATTCCTGAAAGTCTGCTGTCCCCTCTCGTCGAAGTCACCCGCAGCGACCACCAATGGACCGAGGAAGTTGCTGCCTTGTTGAACCGGTACTTTGGCAAGCTTCCAGCGCAGCGCTTGAACATCAACTACAAACTGGCCCCCCTGGCGAATGAGGAACTGGAGGGTTCGTCAGAGGGCTGGCAAAAGGTCGCATCGCCAAAGACGTCACTCACGTCTCCAACCGGGCGACCGCTTAACAGCCCGACGCTCATGAACAGCCCAACGTTCGGGCCCCGCACTTACAAACAAGCAATGGACACCGCCGGTATTCACCGCGATGCTAGCACCCATTCATTCAACACCGCCGGCCAGGTTTACAAGAAGGGCCACTTGTACAGACAGGCAGCAGGATTCTTTGCCGAGCGCGGCCGCGAGGAAGCAAGAAGCTTCGCCAAGGCCATGAGTGCTGCTGCCGACATACATGTCGGCAGCACGCGTACCGCAAACGAGATCGACCTTCATGGTGTGGAGGTGGCCGATGGTGTCCGCATCGCACGGGAGAGTGCGTGGGACTGGTGGAACAACCTGGGGGAGTATAGGGCGCGGAAGGCTCAGGAGGGCTTCACGATTGTTACGGGCCGCGGCCTCCATAGCGCCGGAGGCGTCTCGCGATTGAGGCAGGGTGTTATCGCCGCTCTGGTCAACGACGGGTGGAAGGTCTCAGTCGGGACGGGTAGCTATCGCGTAACCGGGCGACGGTAGCGATCGGTTGGAGCCGATTTGGATAGCGGTTGGCTTGCTTGCGTCACCCCAACTGCATGCGAGACGCTCGGAGACTTTTCGGTGCCAGGCAACAGCATTAATGCCCTGAAACTCGCATATCCCGCCGGATTCTGCATGATTTGACAAGAGAAGGGATTTAGAGCAGCGTTTGGTTTGGACAGGGGTGCAATTTTTTGATGTCATCAGCGAAGATACCACTGGGTGACGACTGTTAGAAGCAGAAGGCACATACACTGGGGAAGATGGATTACATTGAACGGATATACTTGGACGACGCTTCACACATGGAATCAATGGATTTGACAGCAGATCTGTCTGAATTTATTGGCTGTCATGGTCATCAGCAATGCTATCACGCTCTCCGCCTTACAAGCCTTGATCATCGCTTTTTCAGCCTTATCTCAAGTTTTTCAGCCTTATCTCAAGTCCTTTCGATTCCTCCTGGATTTTCGCTCAACAAGTGATTCTGCCTTTTGCTGAAGTACGCGTGTCACCCCTAACGTTGCATAGCTGAAAATGAGGCAAAGCAGGGGGGACTTTGGTCGTCGATCACCACACTAACTTGCTTCCCACGAAGACAACGCAGTATTTTCACCACCATCACAGCAACACAGCCCGTTAGACACTCGACCGCTAAGTAACAACAGCCAACGTCAAACAATGGCGTGAACGGAAAAGAGTCGCTCGCCCCCTTGCACCGCCCAGCACCCCGCACCCGCCGCCCGCGTCCAATAAGCGACCTGCGCCGCACCAACAACAACACAGGGGAGGGGCTGTTTGCACGTACTCCAGGCACCGAGATTCCACAACACCTCACTGGCTACAACCTCCGCACCAAGCTTTTGACGACATGCTTCCAACAGAGTGGTGCAGTCAAGCCGGGCGAAAGATGCGGCTCTCCTTCTGTCTCCTGCATTCCTCGCTTGCGGTTCCGACTTGAGGGGAGGGGCTGGGGTTCAGTCTGGAACTGGGGCACTGCCAGCTTGCCTCCTTGGAAGGACTTTGGTTCCCTCCATCCATCTACCTGTTTGAAACGCCGTACTTGAATCGCAAAGCCTCAGTGATGTGAGAGGAATCTGCTATATAACCAGTCCGCCCTCCGCCGTGTTCATCAGATGAGTCCGTGTCAATGCATAACCAGCTCAACAACTCCATCCCATCATCCACCCAGGACACCTACCCTTACCACCCGATCGACATCGAAATCTCCAGAGAAGCATCCATCAAGTGTCTCGGCACCTACGAAACCATGGCCTCGCCGACATCCACCTCGCCCGCGCCCGCGCCGCCGGCTGCCGTCTCCCCGCGGCCGCTGCACCCCAACGTCTACCGTCCCACCACGCCGCCCTCCCCCACCGGCGCCGCCCCGTCAAAACCAGCCGCCAACTTCGTCCTCCGCACCGTCGCCATCCTGCGCGCCCTCGCCCTCGTCTTCGCCATTGTCCTGCTTGTCCTCGAGTTCGAGGGCCGGCGGCACTACTCCTTCCCCACCTTCTTCATCGTCGTCGCCTTCTTCCAGCTCTTCTGGCTCGCCTTCTCGCTCCTCGCGGAGATCCTGCCCGCGCAGCACCACGGGCGCCGCAAGGGCGTGACGCTCGACTTTGGGGTTGTGAAGTGCATCTTTGGCAGGAGCGGGTACCCGGACGACAGTGATGACGAGGAGGCCGGGATGCTGCTGATGGGGTTTGCGGGGGATGTGCCGCGCAAGTGGAACCGGCGGGATCTGCTGTTTTCGGTGGTGGACTTGGCGCTCGGCTCGACGACGTTTGGGATTGCGGTGACGAATGTGAACGGGAATGGGCGGTGGTATGCGTGGGAGACGTTTCATACCATTGGGGCGATCGCCCTGGTTGTCGCGTGAGTTCTCTCCCTGTCTGTGATCGTTGAGAAGAGTGAGGTTTGCTGACTGGTGGGAAACAGGTCGTTTGAGTTTGTGATTGCCGTTGCGCAGCAGATTACCCTCCTGAAGCGGGCCAGGATCCGCATCTCGCACGATGAGGAGGGCGATGAGGATGCCGGATCGCACAAGTACCGCATCCGTTTGCCCGAGAGCCCAGAGCGGGGCAGGCCTGCCATGTCTGTCGCTGCTCACACGGCGATCTGATGGTAACTCGTAGTTGGCAATAACTGCGCCGGCGTTACCTGCACGGAAGCATCAAGACTGAAGACAGGATGCTTTGTCCAAGACTAGTGCTATCTGGACAAGTAGACGAGGTGGAAGTGTGTGTGCGCCGGCAGTGCGCAGAGATCCTTCCGAATAGTCTATAAATCTATAATCTACACCCATGAATAATGCAAAGAGACCCTCTTATCCATCTCTATTGCGTCAAGCCCTTTTTAACCGCAACATCAGCACCGCACCGCTCCCAAATATCCCTACTCGTCAGCACCGTCGTGACAAGCATCGCAATCCCAACAGCCCCAGGCCCGATATTAACCCACCCCAGAATGACACCCGGAATGAGGCAGTCCAGCGTGTCGGACACCACCTTGCGGCCGAGCGTCTTGACCTTGAACGCGACCTGCCTCCGCCACCTCTTCATCCCCTCGCGCCTCTTGACCACCAACGCCTTCAACCGCTGACGCTCCGCGTTCAGGTCCATCTTCTCCGGCTCCTCCCCCTCTCCCTCCTTCTTCTCCTTTGCTCCCAAATTGTCGGTATCAACCGCGGGGCTCTGGCCCGTGCCGTACCCCTCGCCGTGCTGCGGTACCGGCGCGTACGCAAACGCCTTGGTCATCCTCACCACGTTCGCCGCGATACCGCACGCCAGCGCGAGAAACCAAAACCGCTGGGCCTCTAAATTCAACGCCTTCGTGCGCGCGGCGCCAAAGGGCGCGAGGCCGGGCACGCCGAGCAGGTCCGGCAGCGTGAGGGACTCGAGGCCGCCGTAGAGGCCGAGGAGGGTGAACCGCAGGATGTCCAGCCACACTTCGGCGCCTTTACCCGCGCCGGGGCCCTGGGAAGGGGCGGCGGTGTAGAGGTTGTAGGATGCGCCGAAGGAGTTGAGGAACCAGAAGAAGCGGATGAAGCGGCGGGTGAGGTTGAGATGACCCTTGAGCGGGCCGAGGGCGGCGAGGATCAGGGCCGCGTCCAGGGGCAGGCCTGCTGCGGGGAGGAGGGCGAGCAGGAAGGGGTAGGTTGTCAGGATTGCCGTTAGGGATTGGAGGCCGCGGAGGATGCGCTCGAGGCCGGCTGGAGGATGTTAGTTTTGTGGTTTTGGGGAGATTGGGGGTTTGAGGGGCGTGAGCGAGCGGGATGAGATGGGATATTTCTGCGTGGGGATTGATGGTTTGTTTCAGGATCTGACGGGGCTCATTGAGTTCTCAAGTGAATCCAAAGTCACAACGTTCGGTGAAGAAAACAGTGAGACTGAGTAACTCACCGCTGTCCGAGCCAAAGGCGACAAACTGGTCATATTTGAACGAGGTCATCTTGAGATACCCCTCCGGTCGGGCCTGAAGAAATCGCTAAATCGCTGCGATGCTCCCTCAATCAATCAGTGTGTCCGATCAAATTCTCATCCGACGTTCCTGTGAGGCGGTCAACTGAGATCCTCAGGGAGGCGGTCAACTGAGATCCTCAGGCCCGATGGTCGTTGAACAACAAAGAGGCGCCCCGCCGTGGCCGTGGTCGGAGGGTCTTTGGACCGGGTTGAGCCGAGTTTGAGGCGTGCGGTGTCCGGCGCTGTGGACCGGGATCCTGGCTGGAGCGGATGCCAGCTGATCAAATGCTGCCCTTTGATTGGATGGTGGGCTTAACGCCGATGGCTGAAGAATGTCTGCAGCAGATTTGTGCCTGCGACTGTGGCCTTTTGGTATATCGCCAGGATACCTAGATAACCGGACGCATCATTCACGTTGCACCGGAGAACCGACATGATTTAACGAATTGAAACACATTGCTGATAGAGTACAAGCCAGGTCTGTCTGAACAAAGGAACGCCTGCGCGTGAGGGCTCTATCACAATGTACGATACTAATATATACAAGCCCTCTGGCGCGAGTCTACCACCATGCGAAACCCCTCAGCCTTTTACTGTCCCGGCGCAACCAACTTGCCCTGGGCCCGGGCATCGGGGTCCCAGCCGCCGGCCAGCGCGTTGGCGCCGCCGTTCTGCTGGGCAAACTCCTCCATCCTCTTCTCGAGCTCGGGGCGGAAATGCCTGATGAGACCCTGAAGAGGCCAGGCGAAAGCCTCGCCGAGAGCTGCCGTTCACGTTAGCATTGGGTCCAGTCAAAGTCGTTGACATCATTGACGTCATGGAGGCGAGTCAAACATACCGCAAATGGTGTGGCCCTCGACCTGCTTGGTAAGCTCCTGGAGCATGTCGATCTCGCGCGGCCGGCCGCGGCCCTTCTCGAAGCGCTTCATGATCTGGTCGGTCCACTTGCTGCCCTCTCTGCAGGGCGTGCACTGGCCGCAGGACTCGTGGGCGTAGAAGTGGGAAAGACGGCTGATGGCGCGGACGACGTCGGTGCTCTTGTCCATGACAATGACGGCGGCAGTACCGAGACCGGACTGGCTGTCCTTCAGGGCGTCAAAGTCCATGAGCTGGTTGTCGCAGATAGTCTTAGGGAGGATAGGGGTGGAAGAACCGCCGGGGATGACGGCCAAGAGGTTGTCCCAGCCGCCGCGGACACCGCCGCAGTGCTTGTCGATAAGTTCTCGCAGGGGTATCGACATCTCCTCCTCGACGGTGACAGGGTTGTTGACGTGGCCGGAAATGCAGAAAAGCTTGGTGCCCTGGTTACGCTCGCGGCCGAAGCCTGCGAACCAGCTGCCACCACGTCTGCAGATGGTAGGGGCGACGGCGATGGTCTCGACGTTGGCGACGGTGGAGGGGCAGCCGAAGAGACCGACGGCGGCGGGGAAGGGAGGCTTAAGACGGGGCTTTCCGGGCTTGCCCTCGAGGGACTCGATAAGGGAGGTCTCCTCTCCGCAGACGTAAGCACCGGCTCCGCGGTGGATGAAGACATCAAAGTCGTAGCCGGAGCCGCAGGCATTCTTTCCGATCAGACCGTCGGCGTAGGCCTCGTTGATGGCGTTCTGGAGGACAGCAGCCTCGTGCACGAACTCTCCGCGGATGTAGATGTAGGCGGCGGTGGCGTTCATGGCTCTGCCGGCGACGAGGCATCCCTCGATGAGCTTGTGGGGGTCCTTTCGCATGATCTCGCGGTCCTTGCACGTTCCGGGTTCACCCTCATCGGCGTTGACGACCAGATATCTCGGCTTGTTGTCCTTGTCCCAGTCCTTGAAGTTCATGAATGACTGTTTGGCGATGCGTTAGCATCAATTGTGACCCGGCGGTGCCTTCCCTTGATTGCCGCGGCAAATAATCCGCAAGCCAAAGCGCTGTGGCGACCTTACCCATTTCAATCCGGAGGGGAAGCCAGCGCCTCCACGTCCTCTCAGACCAGAGGCCTTGACCTCGCTGATGATCCAGTCGTGGCCCTTGAGAATGATCTCCTTCGTCTTGTGCCAATCGCCCATCTTCTTCGCCGAGGCCAGAGACGGGGGCAGACGGCCGTACAGATTCTGGAAAATACGGTCCTGGTCCTTGAGTCCGCCATAGGTTCGTACTGTCGCGAAGTTTCGGGCGGCCTGCGCGGCCTGCGCTGGTAACCGCTTCGGGGTAGCCATCGTGGGCGTTTGGAGGGGAGAGGTCGGGGGTGGATGGGGACGGTTGGGTCGGTCGGAGGATTTCGTCGTCGTGGGAAGCGAAGCTCTGCTGGGCCGGGTCGATGATGCTTAGTTTCTGTTGGCGTTGATTGGCCAATGCGGGTCGCTGAGTCAGCTAAAGAGTCACGTGCAGGTCATCCATGCATCAACCGGGGTTATGCACTGGGGAAGGCTCTGGGGAAGAGAAGCTGTCGCTGCCCCACGGCAGTCAGTCACTGCTCATCCATTACGAATTATCGACGCGTCGACAACAGGCATCTTGCAGGGGCCTGCGATCGTCGCGCAGCTCAAGAATGCGTCTTTTACCGCCACGAAGATAGACATCATCTGGGCCGGAGCATCTAGCGCACAACGTTCAACATGTCGTCTAACAAGCGGCATTCTATGCTGCCCGCCGTCTCCAATACTGGCCCGCGACCTCCAGTCAACTTCTCCTCCTCCCTCACCGTTTCCGACAGCGCGATTCTTGTTGGGACGCACTCGGTTACGATACAGTCCGAAAGCGTACTGCACCCCCGATGCAAGCTTGAGTCTACGAACGGCAGCATCCTGATGGGCCGCCGCTGCATCGTCCACGAGCGAGTACACATTGGCGCAGTTGGAGACGAGGAAGCTAGCGGAGGCATCGCGCTCGGCGACTACGTGATAGTAGAAGTCGGAGCTGTTGTCGAGGCAGGAGGCACAGAGATCGGGTCGGACACGGTGATCGGAGTCCGATCTCGGATCGGCCACGGAGCTATCATTGGCAAGGTTGGTGCGACGTCGTGTATGGCAGAAGAGAGACACTGACGGCTGTAGAACTGCACGATATCGCCCCTCACCGTCATCAAGCCCGGCGAGAAGATTCCCGACTTCACCGTGGTGTATGCGAACGGCCAGAGACGGACGGATCGACGCAGCGTGGCAGATTTGAAGCACAAGGCGCAGGCGCGGCAGATTGATGTGCTGAGGAGGCTGATACCCAACAAGGCCGAGAAGTGGCTGAGTTAACAAAGTACAATGATGATACCCCGAATTTACGTCGATTAAGCTTGCGCTTTGAGGAGATGATTCAGTATCAGGGGTGTCTGCGCAAGGCAGGGGTTGCTTAATTGTGTCCCTGGATGTCAGCAGGCTATCGTCACAACTCGTCCACGAGGTCGGCAGGGAGCAGGGCTGACCTGCATGAGACTGAGAGCAACGGCAGGAACCCAGCTGTCCCTCCTGCCTCATCTACTGAGACTTTCATGATGATTGCTAGCCAGCCTCTCTCCGCTGATTAACCACATCCTCACCATCAAAATAGGGGCTGGTTGACGCCAGCAACGAGAATCACTTTGCTCCATAGCAATAGCAGCAACCAGTCTCCCTACTAGATGCACTCAGACAGTATGGAACTACAGAAGTCCAATCTGTGGTTCCTGCCAAGCTTTCCTATCGGAACCTATTTAGATGGAGGGCCTTGGCAGGAGATTCAATGCTTCATGATAATTGCGTTTGTTTGCTTCTACCCTTGCGGGCAGCTGCATGATTCTGAATGCATCATGTCCTGGATCACTGACGGCCCGAATATTTCAGCATTGCACCTAGACTCTCGTTATCGCAAAAAGAGAAGCTGATTCCAGACTTTCCGACAACACTTAAAAGGGGCAACCTCGTCTCGTCGTCGTTAAGTAGTTGTCTTGAGTGGTATTGTCTCTGAAACAAGGTTAATCTATCACGGCCCCAGCTGAAGAACACCACCTCCAAGCTGGCGGTACCGTTCGTATGCCGCCAATTGCAAGGGTTATGTGATGTTACCAGTCTGGTGATGAGATGGTACAGTCGCCGGTATGTCCTTGTATAAGACAAAAGGCGTCAGTCTCGTCATGTGCCGTAGAGTGGAAACAGCCATTGCTAGACCAGGGTTGTTCCTCACCATCCGGACGGGAATTCTTGTGGGGTTTCTTTCACCAATTTGCGATCACGCGAGAACGAAATACACATTAGTGACAACGAAGAATCGTATCAATACACAAGGATCCCCAATTCGGCTTCGCAAATGCCATGTTGTCCGTGAGGCTCCCGTCGTCAACACAAGCTGTGATGAATGATGGATGCATGGCTCTAATTCTTGGCAGCCCTGTGACAACCTGACAGGCGGGACATGACCAAAAATAGCCCCTCCTTTCCACTACAGAACCAGATCTTGGGGGCAGTTCGTCTCTTCTCAAGCGCGAAAAGTTTAAATAGACAGCCCTAGCATGACACAGCTGGACCATCCTTAATCTCATAGGGCGCTCTGGGCAAGCTCCATCCCGGCCAACGCAGGCGCAGCCGCGCAAACACGGCTCGCATTCAATCTTAGCATGAGGATGGAAAGAAATTGCAACTTCAAGCAGTCTGTTCGAATTGCAAAGTTGACTAATCATGAGCAACAGGATTGCATTTCCGATGGTACAGACATCATACGAAATCCGTAACGACATTCTCACGGGCGCTGGGACCACGCTTAGACAGTGAACTCTCGAAAGATGCGACGAACTGTTTGAACATGAAATATGGACTTGAACTCATATTATCTACAAAATTAAATCGAAGCTTCGGTTTCCAGAAAGCCTGTCCGCCGAAGAGGAATCTTTGCGCGGCATCTTAACCAGCCCACCGATCAAATTTCACGGGAACGCCGCAGGACCTCCTGTCGCCCACTCGTTTTGAATCCGGGGAACCCCTGTCCGAATGGTGGGGGGCCTGGATTTAGTGCGGGTGGCAGACCCAGAGGGTGTTGTCCGTCACGTCGATAGCCTTGCTGTCGACCTGCTTGCCGCTGCCGTCAAACGGGCACACGCGGCGCAGACCGCACTTGATATCGCAGGCGTCCTCGTTGTCGCCCTTGCAGAGCGCGATCTCGTAGCGGCTGGCGTGGCGGTCGTAGTCCTTCTTGCAGCGGTTCGTGGTGACCTTGTACTGCGCGCGGGGGCCCCAGCCGTTCAGCGTCGTGAAGCCCCAGTTGTCCGTGTCCATGTCGTTTCTGTTGGCGCGGCAGTTCTGGTGCACGCCGACGTGGGTGTAGCCGTTGTTGCGCATGTACTCCTCGGTGAAGTAGTCGAGGATGAAGGAGTACGACGAGAAGTCGCCGTTGGCCGGGAGGGAGCCCGCGAGGCAGTCCGCGACCTTGCGGGTGTAGTACTCCTCGCAGCCGTAGCCCTTGTTGACGGCCGTGAAGTCGTTGTCCGTGGGGGAGTCCCAGGGGTCGATGTTCTTGTCCGTCACCGTCTCCATGGTGTGCTTCATGCTCTTCTCGCCGACGAGCCATGTCCACTTGGTGTCCTTTGCGAAGCCCTTGGAGTTGTACAGCATGATGGAGTTGTAGTCAAAGGGAACGGAAGTGTCGGCGCCGGTCCAGATGTCAAACTGATCCAGGTGGTCCTTGTCGATGCGATCAGGAAGAATGCGGATGTACTGGTCTCGGTCGGGCCGCTGGTGCTCATGGGTGAGACCGATAACGTGGCCCAGCTATTGTGCGAAACGAGTCAGTTGAGTCTTCAGCGAAGCGCACACGATGTTTGTCACGAACCTCATGGCCAGGAGTGCCAGCTTCCAAGCAAGCTTTGTAGGTGCCAACACTGATGAACTTCTCCCAGGCGTTGGGGTAGTCGAGGTTGACAATCATCTCGCCTGAGCCGGGGGAGCCAAGTTGTTGCGCATAGCAGCCGTCATCATACTAAATTGAAACCGTGAGATGGCGATCTTGAGTTACTTCAGAACCATTCTCACCTTCTTGAAGTTCACCCAAGCCTCGTGGTTTGTCTTGGGAACGAAGCGGATACAGGTGGACTGTTCCCATTGCCTCATGGCACCTCTGATTGAGTCGGACAAGTCGTGGGGGAGGCCCTCCAGGATGTAGGGGACGGTTGCGGCATCCCACAATCTATAGGGTGCCATTGAGCCACGCTTTTCCATCGACATGGCCTCGATTTCAGAACGGTTGAAGATGTTCTCAGGGAACACAGCGGCTCGGGTGGGATGCGCGAGTGCAAGGGCAACCGCCGCCCCCTTCATAATAGTAGAAGCCATATTTCAAGGGACGTAAAAGAATGACGATTTAAAAATGAATGACAGATCTCTCTTAAAGAATGATAGAGATCGGAATTGATGTTGTTCGCACACGCGATAAAGAGACAGAACTTTAGCAAAAAACGTCGGCCATGAGTACTTATACGAAACTTCAAACGGAACGATCGGGGCTTTAGGAGAAAGGGGTTTGCGGACATTCAGTGCGAAATGGGAGCATGAATAGCCAAGCAATCGCACACAAACCGGCATTGCCACGCGAGCCCGGATCCGAAAGAACTCCTCGTGCTTGAATCATGAGAGATTCTACGAGTGGAACACACACACCGCGCTTTTGGCGTGAAGTCAAATAAAGATGTCACGACTCGTAAGGCGCTCCCGGACCAGGACTCGTCCTATGCACGCGATGGGATACCCCATCAACAGCTGATAAACCCCAGTAATTAGATTGACGATCTACCAATGCGCCTTAGTCCATGAGCCCTCCTTTATTTCGAATGGTGAGCAGTTCAGCAGAGTGTCAACCACGTCGTCGATCAAACACCACTCAGATTCTCCCCCACCAGTCGGAAAACACCGAAAAAAAGCTTCAAGCGCAGGCCCTTACTCGTGTCATCGCAGCGGAAAGACCAGCATCAAAGATGCTTAAAGCAACACTTTAAACACACGTTGCTCTCGCGTGGAAAAGTTCCGATGTTTGGAATAGTAATCACGGGAAATGGGTAATGCAATCGTTCAACAGTAAGTCGATGATGCTACTTGCCAATAACGTGAAGGTCTAAGTACGTGTGTGACTATTCAGTCCTCACAATCAGCGAAGAGTAGGATGTAGGATACGGGGCTATTGCGAGACTGTAGAAGTGAGGCGAGTCTTGCTTGGCAAGGGAAAACTATGTCGCCTGTGTCAATTTCAAATTCAGTTCCAAGGACCTACTCAGCAGGCCATCCCAAAGCTACTGCCCAACGTCAATAAACAATCATAGGCAGATTATTCGTTTCAGCTCTGTTGTCTTCCAAATCATTTCAGAGCAAGCTCACACCCCGTTCTTAAACGTTCAGTTGTCTTGATTGAAGACTTGTGTTACTCCCATGTCCTTCCCGCGTGAAAAGTCGGGAAGCATGAAAAGTCGGGAAGCATGCTGTCGTCTCACGCTGATGTGATTTGATCAAACAGGATAAGCTTTTGCAGGACCGCGTTGTGTGAAAGAAACACCGGTGTTACGTCTATCTAGTTGATGAGGCAAATCTTATGCTATATATTTTGGGTATTCCAAGTCCAGTGGGTCTTGTTCTGTATTGACGTTTCTTTGTTCCCTTGATTCATAATACTGCGGAAACCATTCCAACACCAAAGGTACAAGTTTCGTTCATCTTATGTTCCTGATGGAGTTCCATGTACTCCCACAAGGGATGGATATCGCCAGGAGCGCTATTCAACGGACAGCCGACGAAGTCTTCGAGCTCATCCGGATAAAAATTTGCGGCAGCGCTAGCAACGAGGAAGTGACGAGTTCTATTAGGAAGGGGACTTCAAATGGACAAGATGCATCATGACCAGTTGGCGCAAGTCATAAGTCTGAGATGAGTCAGAAACCCGAGAAATTCCTCAATAATTCAGCTGATGTCTTTATGTCCTTTTCGTCCTTGTCGCGGTGAGCGGCGAGTCGCGACCAAGATGTTGAGCTTGGATCTGTTGATCTTGTTGGTTCATGGGAAGTACATCGTAAGCTTCCTCTTAGCTAAGGTCTCCTTTGAAAAGTCCTTCGTGTTTTAACGAACGTCGGGTGTAGAGGTTTCCTCAGATGGAAGTCAATATTTGTGTGTTCACAGGAGCCAGTTGAGAGCACGAGCCGAAAATGCCTCAACAGCAATGATCATGGCAAACTCGATAGATTGGACTTCGTCATGGTTCGTTGGTTGTGTTAGACTCTCCGATGGGCAATGCCTGGCCACAGGTGACCTAGGAGAACTCAGAACGAACTTCTTGTTCTTTTTGAGCGCGGATTTGAGCCTCGCCACGCTGGCCTGAACAATAGTGTCGACGTTGCTAGTACGACGGTCTCTGTGTTTGTGAATTCTCAAAGCTAGACCACCAACCACTGGCCCCCGAATACCACTCTTGTCTAGGAGCTGAACGAGTGGGATAATGTGCCGAATTGACATCGGACTCAGGAGTCTTTTCTAGCATTTCTATCTTTTGTCGGCCGAACCAGCAATTTCCAATGTCTCATCCGGCGAGGAACTCTTTAAGAGGGTTTTCAATTGACTACATATCACATTCGCTGGTAGGCTTGAAAGTAACAACGCCACGGTGCCCATGGTTATCCACGATCTTGGGGCCTTCCTGATGGGTAACCGTGGGGGAAAGAGACCTATCCTTGGATACCCATAAATGACTACCCCACTGGATACCCGTGGGTATTTCAACCATAAACTCAAGATCCGTTTTGCCGTTGATTCCACGCCCATTAAAAGCGATATGGTAGGCAGGCTCGCCGTCTTCCGTCTCCACAGGAGGGTTCACATCTCTGCTGAGTTGAGCCCTAAGGGGTAGAATTTTGCTATTTTGGCGCAGAACTACCTAAGTCAGGCCCAGTACTTACTATTTTGGTTCAATAGTCATATTATATCATTCTTCTAATTTAATACTCTAATTTTTCTCACTATGCCCGTCATAGTCGCCGTCGTACTAGTTCCAGTGGTCTCCGTCGTTGTCCTCGTAGTCGTGTATGCTCACTACCCGCCCGAATAGGAGATCTCAAAGCGCATGGCCGAAGCCAAAGTGGCCAAAAGACAGGTCTATGTAACCAAAGATAGTTCGGACTGAAAGGATGAAGGTGTAATTAATGAATGAAATGAGATGATCCCCAAGGAGTGTGATGAGAGTGCAATCCTCCCAGATTCAAGGAAGGAATGAAATGAGCGACTGAGACGTGACAATGAGAAAGGAACCTACGAGACAGCGAGCAGAATTGATGACTTTTAAACCACTGAGACACTCCAAAAACAATGTAATTGATATTGAATTTCCTCGCAGGCCTGGTTCGGAGTATCCAAACCGTGTCGCTCACTAGATTCTCAGCCCACGCTGTCCCAGACTCCTGAGACTGTTTAGTTGAACGGTGAGCCAGACCAAATTCGCTACGATGATTTTATCATTGGGAAAATCGTAGGCCGTCTCACGGTCATATACAGATATTGACGTTTCTTCGTAGATGGATTGAGCATCTGGCAGCAAACCTCAATTAGACACGGCTTCGCGAGATACGCAGCCTTGATATCTTCGGTTCGTGAGACTTGTTAATGTAGCTGAGCGTCACCTTTGCCCTCAAATTCATTTCAAAGCTCAGAATGCGCGCAAATCGCGTGTAGAAAGGGTTTCGAGCTGTCGACGGATCTCTCGGGATCGATTAAGTTTGAGACTATGGGGCCTCTGCGGTGGGAAGGCCCGGAGCGCTCTAGCGTCTTCATGATCGCCGATCGGGAGTCGCGTTGGCATTGAAAAGCAGGCTTGCACACGGTTGACTAAACGCATCGAGTGGAGACCGTTTGTGGGCGACTGTATTTGGCGCATTCATACTGGCGAGAGTTATTCCGGTTGAGACTTCAGAGTCTTGGCTGGCTTCTTCCAGGCCGCGACAAAAGTCTGGCGACAGCTTGGCTGGCCATTAAGCCTTGAAGTTAGTGACTTCTCAAGAAATATTGCACAGCAAGATATGCACGACTCTTTGAGTCTTGGAAAACTGGTTCAGTCCCGTAGTAGCAATGAGCCAATTTCTGTTTGGGGCGTATTTGCTCTGTCAATGGAAAGACCATAGCTACTGGGCTTATGTCACCGGAAATCACATGCAATCGGGGCGCTCTCAATAATACATACCGAAACGCTGTAAATTCATTAGATAGGAGAGAAAAAAAAAGAAAAAAGAAAAAGACAAATTGACGACTTACATATCTATGTGCTGTCCTCGAAAGCTACAAGACTAGCTTAAACCAAAATCCAAGTGGCCTAAAGAGCATCAGATGATCACTTCAGTCTCCGAAAGTAACATCATACATCGTAACGACCAGAGACAGGAAGGGCTTAAAAGTTTGGCGGCGTCGTGAAAAAGTCATGAAGTATGTGGTATGCCTGATTCTTTTCTTGCAGCAAATTTGCAACCGTGGCGTTCAGTACGACTCAATATCTCACAATGCCTCTATTCAAAGTCCATATGACAATCGAATTGCCACATAGAGATTGGAAATTTTTGGGCCCGAGAATTTACGTATGAGATCATTTGGGGTGAGGCAAAGTAGACCTCACAAACTTAGGGAACATAGAAACAAAGTCTGGGCAAAACTGAGAGTCCGGCCTCTGTTAAGACGATCTCTCAACTGCCAGCGTTTGAACTCTCAATAACTACAACAAACGTAAAATCTGGAAGACGGGCTCTTGCGCATTCTTAGAGATAGATATTACGCATCATTTAACTTAGGAGAATATGACGCAGGAGAAAACTTCGTAGTTCCTGCGCCAAGCCACCACGTCAAGTTCGCCCAATGCGTGGACGCTGTTCATAAAAGGGTTCCTATACGGGCACGTTGACCATAGATCTCTCCTACAAAAAGAATACATCATAAATACACTGCTATGATGCAAGGAAGACCGAGAATGAAAGAGTTCTAGAGTTTCTGCTGAACCTTTACCTGTCCACTTAACTGGCATAAGACAGGGAGCTGCAGAAGACTGAGAAGAGTCAATTTACGACAAGGAGGGTAAGCTAGCTATTCTACACTGGATGCATACATTTTTCTGTCAACAATAGTGTCTTGACAAACCTATCAGCTTGATCTATAGTCTTTGCATTTGCTGCAGTAGGAGGTGGTTTGGTAGGCCATTGGCGACACTAAAATGAGCATGAAGCTGCGTCTACTGGCACTCTGTAATGGAAGCCGAGACGATACCGAAGCGCATGGTAGGCTACCGTGAATTGGCCAACGCCGGAGACAGGACGATCAGAGTCGGTAAACGCGATTGCCAATTACTGAATACGAGCCATCCGCATTTCTCCGGCCGTCTTCTGTCAAGATTTCAGTTTCGTGCAGCTTCCAAGACTCTTTGCTCCAAACAAAAACAAGGTACGCAGTTTGGTTGACCCTGCGCTCTCTGATGATCTTGGCCAACTTGGGTTTCAACGCCCAGCCTGAACCACGAAAGGGGAAATGAAAACATTCGACGTTGGCCTGATTCGAACAGAGGTCGTCCACAAGGCAGAGATGCCAAAACTCTCGCGTAATCGTCTCATGTCCCGGGGGATGAGACTCGTGCCAGTGCAACGTGCCAGTGCAACGCCGACTCCACCGCCCAATTTGCTCGCATCGAGGCCTTGACCTTGCCCTGGGGACCTCTCAGTGTTACTAGTGTATTAATAGACGCGTCGAATGTTCGAATGTTCCACGTGTCTTGCCATGCCAGACGTGCAACTTCGCGCCCGTCATTGTTGAGAAACGCCGGTCGTCGGATCTTGACTGACAATCAACGACTCTTTCCTCGGCAAGTGCTGAGTTATCTTGAGGCATTTTGCGCATTTCGCATCTCATGCAGGTCAACAGGCAGCAGCTGAGAAGGGGCTGGGGGCAGCGTGGGCCATTTCATGGATTAAAAAAAAAGAATGGCCACGACAGCCGACAACAAATATTTGGTTATCAATCCTCTCATGCAACGAGTTCGCTTTTCCCCAGTCAATGACCTGTTGATTGGCGGTGTCGGGCAGACATCACCGCGTGTTGGTTCTCAATGTGACGGATCATATTCGAACCAACAGAGTGTGACACCCATCACACGCAGAAACGATGCAGAAATGCCCCGCATTCGTCACAACCCCCAAGAGGCGCCACAGAAATTCTTCAGCGGCACTCACCCACCCCTGCATATCCGTATCGATTTTCCTTGGCCAACCAAGATGTTCACAACAGCGGATGCGGTTCGTGCCGTGGGGGAAGCCGGAAGATGCTGCACTGTGACTGCAGTCGGTCATTACTCGTGTGCATATGTCGACGTTCGAGTCTGGAGTCTCTCGACACCACTAAGAATTAATTACGGAGAGCGACTAGTTGCAGAGATGGTTAGAACCGTTGGATCCCGCATTTGGGATCAGAAACGTGACCTCGGGCTTAGTCAGAAATCTCGCATCCCAACATCGGACTAACGTGAGAGATTGCCACACTTCAGGAGTGAGGGGGATTGAATCCATGAAAACAGTTTGAGTGTCAAAGTTGTCAACCACGCTGCCCAGAGGCTAGCAAGGGGATGAGAAGGAGCAGCAAAGAGGGGAAGAGCAGGGAAGACGGCGAGAGAGCAAGGGAAAGAGCAAGGAAAATGGTGGGAGAGTCAGGGGTGAGATGGCCAGAAGACAAGGAGCAGACGACTATCGTCGACCGGAGGCTGGTCCGTTGACCGTTGCCGGTTCCACAAACAGTGCACCGACACTCCAACGAGCCCGGACGAGAACAACCCCGGCCCATAGCAGAAATTTCGGCGCTACGTGGCGCAACTAGCCCCCATTCCGCACTCGCTTCCCGCTTTAAACCGTTGAAGAATTCTGGGCCAAGCCTAGGGTTCCAAACGAATAGGATCAATGAGGAAGTCAGAAGCATCGAGGTGGATGTGCGGGCGAACCAAACTTCCCAATAGCATGTAACCCTAAGCGGGTTGGTTACCCTGCCAAAACGGTGGCCATTAAAACCAGAGCCGGGGGGCTGGGACAGACAGCAAGGTCAGGGAGAGAACGAAGAGGCAGAACTTCAGAAGGCACAGACTCGGACCAAACATCATGGAAAAGCGTTCAATCTTATATGTAGTAACAAGCGAAGAAGCTAGCAGACGGTAGATACCAATAACCATTTAACAAACGCGGACCGCAAACCCGAAACGATCGGTTCTACAAAATGAAGAGAGAGCGAGAGAGGGAAAAACCTTGAATCCAGATGGGCCGACACGCCAAATGAGGTCCACACCCCCCGGTCTTGGCGGACCTATGGCGGCATTACCATGTCGCAGTCGTATCTTTTTTGTGAGCGGCTTCAGCGGTAGGTCGATTCAGAGTCTCCCGAGATATTGCGACTATCCACATTAATCCACCTGGCGTGAACTATAAATGATGAAGAGACCCAGGGAACTGGGAAGATGGCGTGTCCAAGGAGGATTTCGGATCGGCAATCTGGCGCCGTTGTTTCATGATTTCATTCATCATCAGGCCCTTCCGTCTTCGACTTGCGAGTCTCTGAACTTCTGTCGTCGTCGTCATCTTTCACCTCCCGCAAAGCATCATGGCTGTCCAAACCCTTAGCCCGACGTCCTCCATCGCGAGGTTGCCTACGTCGGCCATCTCCAAGGTCAAGGACGCCTTGTCTCTCGCCCACCTCATCACCGAGAGCAACATCAAGGCCTATGTCCTGCCCGTCGTCCTCTTCGCCATGCTGAGCTTGGCGTCCGGGGGCGTCACCGTCAAGTCCCCCAGCTGGGCTGACGTCGCGGCCTCTTTCCCGAGGGCCCTGCTCTGCATCTGGCTCTACGTCTTCCACTTCGACCTCAGCAACCAGAAGGACCCGGAGTCGGTCGAAGAAGATAAGATCAACAAGCCCTGGCGCGCCATCCCCTCCGGCCGGCTCAGCATCGAGGACGCCCAGAAGTGGTACGTCGTCGCCACCGTCCTCCTCCTTGTCGCTAGCATCGCCCTCGGCGGTTTCCCCGAGGCCCTGGCCTTCATGGCCGAGACCTGGGTCTACGACTACGTCGGCGCTAGCTCCTGGTGGGGCAAGAACATTATCAATGCTCTCTTCTACTCGACCGGCCAGCTCGGCGCCACCCGTGTCGCCTCCCACTCCAACAACATGGCCCGCGCCGGCTACGAGTGGTGCGCCCTGCTCGGCCTCAACACCCTCACTACCGTTCAGATCCAGGACTTCAGAGACATCAAGGGCGACGGAGCTCGTGGACGCCGCACCCTGCCCCTCGCCATGGGAGACGTCCCCTGCCGCTTCCTCACCGCCTTCTTCATCGTCTTCTGGTCCATGGCCCTGTGCGCGTACTGGCAGTGCACCCCCCTTGAGTACATCATGCCGGTCATGATGGGCGGCTACGTCTCGTTCCGCCTGCTCTTCGACCACTCTACCAAGGCTGACCGCATGGCCTTCCACATCTACACTCTGGGATGGCTGCCGATCCTCTACTCTATTCCTTTTGTCAGCAAGTTGGGTTTCCTTAGATTTGGAGCATTGAACTAGACGGATAGAGAAAGCACTAGAGTTAAATGCATCTTTTCCTTGGGTGTAAATAGACGACGAACATGATACCTTGAATATATCTCAAAATACAACTAACAGTATTCTATCCATCCGGAGTCTCGGACGCTCTTGATCCTTTCTGTGACACTACCTTAATTGACTACGGCCATGTCCACTCTTGTCCTATTCTACGTTACTTTCCTGTTCTTTTCTTTGCTTTTCTGTAGTGTTTGATGCGATTGAGGCAAAATCCTGATAATTCTTGGCAGGGGTAGATGCACAGACTCAGATAAATGTAGGCCGGTCACCTCACTTTAAACATGATGCGAACAAGATGCAAATTCGTTTCCACATTGCCCAGTCTTTCAGGCTTATCGAATCCAAGGCTGCAAGCTGACACTTTTTCAGTGTCGAGGGTCAAACTTGCACCAACAAGAGCATGTGACCTCTCCGGTGCCAATCGTCAAATCCGACTGCATTTTATTGTTCCACAACCACGGCATATCAAGACACTCTACTCTTGTAAGGTGGTCTTTACGACGCATGTTAAAAAGGTTGTCGACTTATTGCAACATTTCTGCCCTATCCTAAGCAGCAGGCCAACCTGGGATGTCTGCAAACCAACGTGCCTTGTATACATTATGCTCCACTCTTACCTTGGTAACACTTTTGCCCTGTATCACATTCACAACATCGCTAAAGTACTGTCTCCATGTCGCTTGAACATATAAGACTTGGCCTTGTCCGTTGATGCTCATGCTCTTGATATCAGATCTCGGAAGTCCATGCCGATTGCCCATCGGGGTGAAGCCTTCCAACGTCTTGTTCACCTCGGACTCATCCAAGAAACCCCGTGACTCGAGATCTACTCCGACGATACTCAGGTCACTTGTAACCAGGACCTTGCGGCTATTAGGAATAGCGACAAGATCATGAGGGCCGTTCCACCATTTAGTTTCCGACCCCCACTCCACTGTCAATCGATCTGTGGGACGAATGATAAACTCGTCTTTTGCTGTATCGGAAGCCTGTAGTACAGTACTCCGGTCCGAGTTCGGTGCAAAGGAGAAACCACGTAATACTCCCTGACTACGTTCATCGCCCTCTGGAGACTTGTCGTTTCCAACAGCCCATAGCTTGGAATCCTTTTCATCCCATAGGAGGCCATGTACTGCCGGGAAACCTCGAATAGTTTGTACGGGGGTTGGATCGGGCCTGTCGACACGAGGAGCTGAGGTGCGAAGGTCGTAGATCTCGATGCCGTCTGATTGAGCTTTTCCAGTCGTTGCGACAGCGAGAAAATCGTTCGGCAGTAACTCCAGTGTGTGGGTATCCTTTACACAAATGGCGAAGCGAATTGGATGTGTGTTGTGGTTGGAGGCGGATGGCACATCAAAGACAATGGCCGCACTGCCAACGATCGCGACAACCTTGCTGCCATTCGCCACCCGCTTGACCTCGGTGATAGAATCTGAATTTTCAATGCAGGCTTTTACTTTTGGTGCGATACCTTCCTGCTTGATGTTGTCGAGGTCCCATTTCCACCCGAGATGGCCTGAGGCGTTTTGTACACTCCGTTGCGTTGACAGCGTCCGCCCCCAAGTTTGACCCGGAAGGAAAATTTTCCGCTAGCCCAAAAACCCCCTAAACCCCCCTAAACTTCACACTTAGATAACTCTATGCGTACGTAATGCGTGTAAATGAAATATATATCAATCGATAGCCCTCAATTAGGTGATTATAATGATATCTTTTTTATCTACGCGCACTGCGTACGCATAGAGTTATCTAAGCGTGAAGTTTAGGGGGTTTTAGGGGGTTTTTAGGCTAGCGGACACTAAACGCAACGCTGAAAAGAAAAAACGAAACCCCTTGTACGTAGTGTTCACAGTGTCCTCCTTAAAAACCCCTTAAAATTAGCCTTAACTTCACACTTAGATAACTCTATGCGGACGCAATGCGCGAGAATAAAAAAGATATCATTATAATCACCTAATCGAGGGCTATCGATTGATATATATTTCATTTACACGCATTACGTACGCATAGAGGTATCAGTGTACGAAGTTTAGGGCGTTTTGGTGGTTTTTTGGTAAAAAGCCCCTTTTTTTGCCTTTTTCGGGCTAAAAACTGCGGGGTGGACGCTGTCAACGCAACGGAGTGTACGATGACCCTCTTGGGATAACACTTGTACAAGCACCAAGATCCGAGCCGCATCCAGCATTTTCCCCGGGCGCCAATAAGCATCAAATGATCATCATTGGTCTCGGCAGTCATGAGTCGCTGTTGTTGTTTGTATGATTGCTGCAAGTGCAAAGAACATGAGAAGTGGCAAACATAGAGCAGGAGAACAAATCGAAAAAGCAGGAACCGAGAGTAGCGTGCCATTTCCCTCTTGATCACTCCGCCTTCAGTTGTTGATGGTTAAGATGAAGAACAGCGGCTAGAATGATGATACTATGGAGTAATCACGAATGCTGGGGATTTAAACAGAGGTGAATCGAAGGCCGTACCCCCTCTTATACATGTAGTCCCTGGAAAAGTCTCGAGTCGCTGATGATCTCATGCAGGGTACTTTCAGATCGCCCTCAACTTGCCTGGCTCGGATAAGAGAATGGGTTATCACATGCAGATTCGGCTGGGGCCGCGGGCGAGCTGGACATGTCTTACTTGATGCCTAATATGGTATAATGATAAGTAGTAGAGACGGCTATCACGTAGATCGTTACCTATTCTCACGTATCAAGTCGGACCGTGTTCATATGTGCTCTGACCCTGTGACATTGATTAGGTGGCCGGAGTTGGACACCAGGAAAAGGCGACATATTCACAGGCCATCAAAAGTTTGCATTGGGCACCAGTCCATGGACCTGATCTTTCGTTGTTTAATGAATGTGGTGGTGAGTACAAAATGAAGCGACCGTGTGCTTGTAACCAGTGCAGCGTGTATAGACCAGTGCCGTTCCGCTATGCCTTGGGAGGCGCCTTGTTGACTGGCATCAGAGTCGTTGACGGGTTGTAGTTCGGGTAAGCCAAAAGCTGGCGTCCCGAACTCTTTTGTTTCTTCCCAACCGTGTAGGCATACCAGTCTACCCAACCCTTGTTGCTCAGAGCAATATTTATGTCTTCCAACTCCTTCTTGTCATTAAATACAGGAAGAGTCTGGACATAGAGTCCCGAGGAATGCCCAGTCCCACTCATCCTGATGTTCGAGAATTGAAGACCGCTAACCCTGCTGAGTGCTCGCGAGGCGATCCAGATATCGTTCCACCCAGGGCCACCAGACCAGCCCATTGAGTCGCCTTTTTGTCGGTCATCGACCCAGACGTTGATACTGTGGCTATAAACCTCTTCAACACGAAGCATAAGCCCGACTGCAACTTCGACAAGCGGTTCGTCGCCAACCTTTCCTTCCTGGGTGTACTTGTCGACATTCTTGACCTCGCGCTCGAAATCGACACCTGTCTCTGCTGTTGCCTTGGCTTCGGCCTTCATTCCCATGAAGTTTCCACCGCCTGAGATCTCTAGAGCGAATCCTGCTTTTGCATACAGTTTCGTGGTGGTAGTCTCCACCCGCTCCTTTTCGATCTTCGTGACGATGCTATTCTTGGGAAAGTCTCGAATCCTTGCGACAGACGGAACCCATTCGATTGGTTTGTACGCCACAATGTCTCCAGTGACTCTCCACCAACCTCTCCTTGTACCATCTCTGTAGTAGCCTTCCCAAGTACTGTCAAGACGGGGGCTGATATAGTATGCTGGGAGATCAGGCAAATTGTCGTTGCTGATGCCGAACCACTCCCTGAGCTGCTCGTGGTCCATGCGAAGGTCACCGTAACATTCGTTGGAAAGAGGAACACGAATGACCTTGACGTCTCCATCATTGTAATAGTAAGCGCCGTTGTTGTCTTTGGCGGTATTGTCGAATTGGAAAACCATGGTGAAGATGTTGAGGAGAATGTAAAAGGTGGTTCAGTAATTGATTAAATGATTCTGGTGAGAAAACTTTTTATCGTTACTCGGTTTGATCTCACTTTTTATAGATCTTATTGCAAATAGAGAACTCGTATGTAGCCGAGCAAAGGGTCTTAACCCGGATAATCCGCGCCAGAGGAAGCAGCCATCAATTATCTCTCGTACAGCGTCATTCTCTAGTGTGAAGCCCATGATGTCAGACCCTGCGGTTCTTGGTGGTTCGAAATGGCGTTGATCAACGATGATCTATCACAGAAGCGAGCTGGAAGCTTTCAACAACAACTGCGAACAGAAAGACCACCCAGACGACGATTCTCAGTTCTCGGACGTAAAAGTAAGTTAGGAATCAAACACCAAACCATTCCGCTCCGTCGCGGTACGTTCGCACTCTAATCAGATTGGATAAATTACGAGAATGCTTCAAGCCGACCTACATTAAACTTTCGGGTAGTCAAGTTCCTTAACACACTATGCTAGGATTGAGTCTGCTCTCGACATGGTAAGACAGGTTCACGTCATCCATAGCATCTCGTATCCGATACCATTGAACTGACCAACAGACTGCATGTCTTACAACCTCCTTCTCGTCATGTCCACCTCACTGTTTAAGGAATGTTTCGCTAGCTCTGGAATTACAAAGCATCTCAGGGCGAAACATGGAGGACGAATGCCTCAAAATGGAATGGACAGGTGTTTAGTTTTGTGCGTAGCGCGGTGCGGCGGCTTGATCGTGGGAATGTATCACATACTATGCTATCCGCCAACTTCACGCGCCTACTTACAACAACCAATCAGTCATTAGAACAGCTTGACGCTAATTGCGGGGCAATGTAAGACTGCCGGAGCGGCCCGTTACCATCACTAGTGGCTGAATCGGCAATACCAGAGGCTAACGATATGGGCTTCGTGGCAATAACGCTTCGACATTGCATGGAGTACCATTTCTGGACCACCGCTGTCCAGATCAACGTCAATTCCTAATTGCGTCGATCTCGATGTGACTGATTTTCGGGAAGATGAAGATG